TAAGTTTTTAGTTTTATTTAATTTGAGTTATTTAAATTTTTTTATACTCTTATACCTTTTGTTCTTTACTATTTTGAAGTTTTTAGCTTTATTTTTTAGTTTTTCATTTAAATGTTAAGTTTTGAAACTTTGTTGTATGCATTTGTCATTTTTATTTAATCTCTTTATTTTTAAAATGTGTATAGGTAGTATTTATAAAGTTTTAGCTTTTAGTTTTGGATCTGTTTTTAGTTGTTTTAATACTACAATCGATTGCTTCTGTTGTCCTCATTTGTAAGTCGCTTGGGATAAAAGCGTCTGATAAATGACTAAATAAATAAATGACTAAATAAATAAATAAATATATATATATATATATGTCTATACATTAAGTTGTAGTGTATCTTTCAACATGGATGGGATGTGCATTCGATGTTTATTTCATGCTAATTATAGAATGCACTCCTCTCTCGCTTCAACTGAGGCAATGCGGGAGCGCGCATGTGAACCGTCACGCCAATAAAGAGCTCCAAAACTGTATTTATCATTTTAAATTCTTAATAAAACTGACAGAATTTGAATTCTGAAACTTTGTTTCCTATTATCAGAAGTGACCTGCTCTGTCGTGTCTGTCAGCTTGCTGTCTGTGTCCTCTCTGCTCTGCGATGTTTTTCGAAAATGAACGTGTGGCGCGAGCGGCTGGAAATGGACGAGATGAAGCGCAGTGACAACAGACAACAGCCAATGCTCCACACACAGATCTGGGCCCGTATTCACAAAATATCTTAAAGCTAAAAGTAGCTCATAACTCACCGATTTAGGAGAAAATCTTAAAAATAATGGGCGTGTCAGTTCTAAATTTAGGACTCCTAAATGTTTGCTCTAAGAGTATTTCACAAAGCATTTTAGCAGTAAAACTAGCTCCTAAATCTGTGAAATGTTAGGAGTAGAGAAGAGGACTCCTAAGTCACTAAGACCAAACCACAAACTATCCTAAAATAGCTGTTGCCGGCAATCTGCCTTGGAATGTAAACATTTGACAATAATGAGCTTTTAAAAAGGTATACCGCCATAATCATGGGGGTATTATGACTGTTGTAGAACTTGTCGAGACAATTTTCCTTTGATTAGCCTATATCCTCGTTATCATTAAGCAGCTGGGCAAGAAGTAACAGCTCTTCTTGCGTCCAGTTTGGTTTTCTTTTACGTTTGCATGTCTTACTATCAGCCATGATTATTCTACTCTGTTAATTAAAAGGCTGTTTATATGCATATTCACTAATTATGAGAAGCACACATGTAAGAGGCTGACAATTAGCTGGACATATACTTGTTTAATTAGTGACTCTTAGCCTGCATTTTAAAATATTTATTTGAATGTGGCAATTAGCCAATCACTGTGTGCATAGTTAGTAAGTATGCTGACATCATCCATCGCAACGAGGTAAACCCCGCCCCCTTACTCTGAGCTTAAGACTTCTCTCTATTCCTTAGTACAGGTTTGTCTCAGCAGCTTTGTGAATAGGTTTCAAGAGAAAACTCTTAGCTAAAAACTTTTACTGCTATTTAGGAGAACTTTAGTGGTAAGATAAAATGTTTTGTGAATACAGGCCCTGATCTGATCATCCTCCTAGTTGCTTATTAGCATGCATATTACTAGCATATTGGCTGTTTATTAGTACTTAAAAAGCACATATTAATGCCTTATTCTGCATGTCCATATTTTAGGTAATTTAATCCTATCACATACCTAAACTTAACAACTACCATACTAACAATAACAAATACTAATTAATTGCTAATTAAAAGTCATAGCTAATAGTTAGTTAATAGTGAGAATTGAGTACCGCGTGTAGTACTTGCCTTACAGTTGCTTAAATATATTTTTTATATAACTATTTACATAACCATCATGATTTTTATATCTACATAAGGAATGTGACCTACAGTATATTTCCAGACATATGTATTTTGAATTCAGCAGAGAGATCAGCATATTTAATGTCTCATCTGTCTCTGTCATGCAGTTTTGATCTTAAAACAAGCTTTGATGGAGTTTGTCAATTTGTATCGTCACATTGTATCGTAAAGAATGTATCATTTTACATATTTTATTGTGAAGTAACAATATCCAGCCTTAATTTATAGCCTACAGGGTAATTTATAGCCTACAGACATTAATGAGGACTTGGGGCAAAAAAAGCCAAAACAATGCTCCCCAAATTCAAAATAATGGGACAAAATAAGCCCCTGTGCAATTAAACTAATTTTATTACGACTGCGGCGATTAAAGTGAGATGTGATGATGAATGAAAAGTGTCGATTGCAGCATTACATTTAGATCTGCTCATCATTTTGAAGTGTTGAGCATTATAACCAAATATACACATTTCTGGCCAAACAGAGTTCAGATTAGTCACCGGCGATGAGGAACGTTCATTGACTGAATTCCACACTGAATTTTCGCGAGAGCACAGAGCTCAAGCAGTGGGCTTAATTCATGAACCGCTTCAGTGATTGGGGAAAGTTTTTTGCTCACTTTCTGTATATAATTTACAGGTTTTTTAACTGCTAACACACATTTTTAAAACTTTGCCTCTTTTTTACAAAACTTTACACACAAATCCAAGAATTCCTTTTATCACTTGCAAAATTAAGCACTGCATTCGCAATATCACAAACACATCTCAAAAGCAAACATTTGTCTTACATTGCAAACACCTTTACCATACTATTGAACTTTTGGGCCTCTTTTTTACAAAACTTTACACACAAATCCAAGAATTGCACGCAAAATGCCTTTTATCACTTGCAAAATTAAGCACTGCATTCGCAATATCACAAACACATCTCAAAAGCAAACATTTGTCTTACATTGCAAACACCTTTACCATACTATTGAACTTTTGGATATATTATACACACAGTTATGCAAAACCTAAAGCTCTTCTTTCATTACCTCTTATGTACATTTCTGTGCAAGATTGAAAGTAATTGGCAGAGAGATGTTGCAAAATTCACAGTAAACACGAAAGCAAGATTGAAACCAAACTTTACTAAAATTGCTCCGCTTTTTTCAAATTTTTTCATGCATTCCATTAATCCAAACACACAGATGATTATTGTAAACAGGTGTATTCACTTTTGTTGCTTTGAGTTTCTACTTTAGTGTCTGTATTTTTAATATAGTCTTTGTAAACGACTGTACTGTACTGTACTTGTCAACTTAGAAAGGTGATAAAATTCTGAATCGTTTAACATTTTAATGATATTGCACTGTACAATGGTATACTCACCCCTACTTGTTCAAACAAACGCTTTATTAAAAGTCACTGGACTACATAAAAAGAAACGACAGGACCACATACGGTGGAAGACCATCTGCTCTGGCAAGCAGCTCAGACAACTTAGTAGTCTTGTGACTTCTACATATGAATATTTGCCAAAGTTACTTCCTGTGTTTTTACAACTGAGGATGGTCTTTAGAGGAACACTGAAATGTCTTGTTGTTTCTTATGTGTCCAGTGATTTTTAAATTTGTTTGAACATTTTACGAGATGTTTTAGTAAATCATGAATTTAGATTTACTCCTGTTGTTTATTTTATTAATTATTCTGGAACTGAATCCAATCCATTTGGAAAGAAAAATATTCAAAAGAAGCTTAGCACATTCAATTTTTTAAATCTACATTAATGACAAAAATATGATTGTTTTCCAGTACAGCAACAAAACAAATCCAGTACATCACACATGTGAAATAGGGTGATATCCAACACATTACCATGTTGGCTTCTGAGATGTGGTCAATACTGGCTACTTCAATGGCCATGGCGACATTCACAGGAGGTCCTGAGGAGACAAAATAAATGATCAGACTTCACCTACTTGTCATCTAAACTGAAATAATTTGAGAAAAAAAAACACTACTCTTTAAGCTTTCTTCCAATTTTCCAAATCTTTATTTAAAAAAAAAATATATTAATATGAACCATGCTAAAAGATAAAAATGAAGTAATATCAAATAAAATGATCAAATTCATTCCCTGGGCACCAATAGAAGGAAGCTGCTTCAAGGATGTAAAATATCACTTCCACTGGTGTGGGGTTTTTTGTAGAATGGTACGTTTATGAAAGAGAAACAGATGCAAGGTACAAGATTTGGTGTACAGTGACAACAAAAAGCCTTGAGTGGCTTGGATTTGTTGTGAGTCATGTGACAGAAAAGGCTGTGAATGTGACTGTATAATTTTTATAATTAATTATATAAATATTTTATTATGCACTATATTAGCCAGTGTGAGAAGAGAGAAGCAGCAACACGAGAACTGTGTCAGCAAGGGATACCATACCATATGTCAGAGCACAATCCACAAGGATATGACACGAATCTGTCATGTTTGAAGGGTGCCACATTGTAAAAATTGTGAAGTAGTTCCCAAAGCAATTGAGAACCTTTAAAGTCTGGTCTGTGCAAGGGTCAAAGGACTAAAGTCGTAAGAGCCACCTGTCCGCCTCATTCACTTTCCTTTTATCCTTTCCCATTATAATATAATAATCATATACACGACCAGTCAAACTTTTTGAACAGAAAGATTTTTAATGTTTTTAAAGAATTCTCTTCTGCTCACCAAGCCTGCATTTATTTGAGGATCGTGATCAAAGCTGTATTTTCAGCATTATTACTCCAGTCTTCAGTGTCACATGATCCTTCAGAAATCATCCTAATATGCTGATTTACTGCTTAACAAACATTTATTATTATTATTATTATTATCAATATTTAAAACAGTTAAGTAAATTTCTTCAGGATTCTTTGTTGAATAGAAAGATCCAAAGTTCAGCATTTATCTGAAATAAAAAGCTTTTGTAACATTATACACTATACCATTCAAAAGGAGTCAGTATAATTAAAAAATATATATATATTTTTTGGGAAAGAAATTATAGAAATTAATACGTTTATTTAGCAAGGCTGCTTTAAATTGATCAAAAGTGATAATAAACACTGTAGCATTTGGACCAATCAGACACACCATTTTTCATTAGATTTAACAAATCAATTATTCATTAGATTAACAAATAGTCACAGACCCCTCACCCAATAAACATACTGGGTGCCAGGATGTCTGTGAACGACACCAGGCCCCTGGTTACCATGGCAACCAGGACCCCTCAGCCAGATCAGATAAACTTTTACGACCTAAAAGGAAGTTGAGAGAATCTTCCTCCTACTGAGTTCTCTCTAAAACAGACATATAATGCCCATAAAAATGGACTCTTCTCTAATTAATTCATAGGAAAACCTTTCTTTGAATGAACACACATATACTTCAGGTCATTGTGTATGTTGTTACTGTTCTTGTATATTGTCTTTTGTATTGTATACTGTTTTATGCAGGCTTATGATAGAACCACTCTTTCATGTAATCTTACCTATATGTAATCTTACCATGTTTAGTATTTATGAATTCGTCTTCTGATGATCTAATTGAGAGTGTATATTATATGTTGGTACATAGGCAATATATTAGTGCTGTTCTAAGAATCTTTAGTAATTTTGCATCATCCCCAATCGAGATACATTTCCAAATTGCCATGCTCTCAGACAAAGGGTCGTAAAAATCCGCAGTGTATATTTTAATTATATAGTAATATTATAATATTCTATGATTTATTATTCAGGATTGACTCCTGCAGTTTGAATGATATTGCATAGGCAACATTAAGTGCACAGTTAGACGTTTTGTCATTCTATATTTTAGGGTACATTTCACATCAGCAAAAAAAGTGTAAAAACAGTAGAGGAGAGTGGGGTAAGATGAGCCACTTTTTACTTATGTGGTCCTCAAGATAAGGGAAAATGACGCAGAAGTACAATCAAAGTATCTAAAGTAACTTCAGGATGTTTCCTATCCTTTTAAATGATCAGAATGTATCTATGACAAAGGGTTCTTCACTGAAACTAATGAACAATTTAGTCAAAAGATTCTTGGCATAGTAGCTTTTCTGCAATGTCGAACAGGCCATTAGGGACTACATGTGGAAAGATATATCTGATTATAATGTGATGAAAGGCATCTTCTGGTTCTTATCAGATATGGATTTGGTGCACTTGTACACTGTCCCTATTAAATAAACTACAAATAATAATATGTATATATGATAAACTAAATCAGTTGTGTACTACAGCATTTGGCTCACTTTGCCCCATAGCTGCCATTTTGGAAAACAACTAGCTTGCTTAATAATTCAGGCTAATATTTAGCTAAATGATTTACATGGTTTTATACATTGCTAAATCACTTATATGCATCATAAATATTTTTAGACCTGGATAAATTTACTTGGATGTAACAGCCATTACATATGTTATGCTAAAATTTTACTGTGACAAGCCAAAAACTTGTTAAACTTTGTTAAAAGTTTTTAAAGTAATTGGGTGCCTTCCACTCCTCCCATGTGTTTCTTCTTTTCACAGTCTGGCAGAAATTATGGGTGGTTTCAAAATATTTGGTCACATGACAATAAAAGTGTACAGTTGGCAAGATACAGGGGGTGGGTCAACTACCCACTGGCTCATCTTACACCACTCTCCCCTATGCCTTCTTAAAACAACTCTTGGTTTCAGTTGGTATATTTTATCAGTGTATAACTTATCTGCTATTTTTATTAATGTAACAAACTATGTCACTACACACACTGATTAGGTGTTTTGTAAAATGAGTGAAATATCCCTTAACTTAGTTGCCAGGTGACATAGTTGACAACTTCACCATCTTGACTCATAATTTCAATGGCAGGCCTTGTCTAGCTGACCAAATGTTATTTTCTTGATCAGGTTCAATTTCAATAGTTATTTGAAGAGAAACCATTAAAATACTGCAAACCACAACAATGTACCGAACATAGTTGACAGGCAATTAATATAATCTATGATAATAGGTCACTAGAGATAAAATATAGAAAAAAACTAACCATACCAATTACCATAATGTGCTTAAAATGTCTGCCATATAAGAAAATGACATGACGTGATGCTGGTCACATGGTTTTGTAATAAATCATTTTTTTTAGTTTGCAGAGGGCTGTTTGGTAGTAACATGAAGTAACATGAGTAAAATTAAAAATTTTATTATTTGAAAGAAATAAGACATTGACTTCATTGACTCTTGATTTTCATTCATTATTTTGAACTCAAGAAAAAAAAAAAAGCGGACATCGCATGAAGACAAACTGCAAAACTTGGTGTACAAAATATTTGTGTGAAATTATAGTGTTTTCTCTTAGAAAACTGTTTAAAAAAATAATGAACATCAGTGGACATGAAATGTAACCTAAATTATAGAATGACCCACTTATTATAATCAATTATAACTACAGTTTCATAAATGAAGAGCAATGTGTCCACAGGTCCGCAGAGGAGAACCACTGACCTATTGAATAAGATAGGTATGCTTTATTAGGTACTTATCAATACTGAGTGACATGTGGTGTGCCTCTCACAAGCTTGTTTCTTAGGATATGATTCAAATATATGTGGGCTAATTGTAATACTCCAAAAATAGACTGTAAAAACTGGAGCACTTGTCATAGGAAGTGTGAGGTTTGTTGTGAAAAAAAGAGGCTAAATATTGATGCTAAAAATGACTGCAGGTGGTTGAGCAGTGTAGTGTAAACTGCACATATAAAACTCACCTCCAATCCCTGGGCGAAAGTTTCGAGCATAACCTTTCATTAAATCATCCAGATTAGGCAACCAGGATATTTCAATGTCTGTGCCAACATAGTCACCAATATCACTCAGCATGGCCCTACAGGGACAAAACAAACAAATGTTTTTCACTTTCTCTTTCACAATTTTATCATAGATGCAGATGTGTGACGTGTAATTGCAGTTTGATAATCAAAACATTGAAATATATTATGGGGACATATTTGGTTGGAAGTGAACGTAAATACAGGACAGATGGATGGACTGAAAAGGTGTTAAGGAAAACAGGATAAAACACAGAAACCGAGCATCAAAAAGCAAAACAAAAACCCAAACCTTGCTGAGGGGCTTAATGGATGCTGGTTACACAATAAGAAACAAAATAAGCCAAAAACGATAGAAACAGATCCCAAAATAGAACAAACAGACACAGACGTAGAATAAAATACAAATGGGGGCACTGAATCAGGAAGCTAAGGAGGTAATAAGAGCTATGCCAAACAGACATCCAAGGACAAATCCAAGTAACACAACTGACAATGAGAATATACACCTTTTTTTTCCTATTGCGTTTTAAAATACGGCTGAAACTTCTAGTTTGGAGAATTTCAAAACTGAAACAAATAATTTCAAATAATAAGGTTGCGCTGAAAATAATACTCATCTGTCAATTTGACTGAATGATCTGCAAATTTTTACTTCATGCCCTATTTTAGCATAACACTTGCAATTTTAATGAGACATTGGTATCACAAGAATTTCTGTGGCAAGTGCTCTTTTTAGTCCAGTGTTCTCTGTTCCTCCTCATTATTTTCTTTTCTTTTTCTTTCTTTTTCTTCTGCTGTATCTATGAAAGAGAGAGCAGATACTGCGCAATTGTGGCCTGCGCTTTTGATTTAAAAAACAATATATCCCATGAATAATTCAATGTACTAAGAATCCCTCCTTTTTCTTCCCAAATTCCCACATTTCTTTCCCAGTTTATTAATCTCTATTAGCGGTGTTTACTGGAAGAAACAGGGTATACAATATTTGTATCTGTCAAAATGATGGAAAGCTCTTTGAAATATCCATACATCATCCGTTAATGATGGAAATTTTTTGATTAACGCAACAAACACATTGCATAACATATTACTACAGTAATATTGAACTTGTTATTTATGGTCTGCCGAAAGTAATTTGTTAATACATTAACATGTTTAAATATCCTTTTAATGTTCATTGGTTTGAAGAGTGAAGATAGTAATGCCACCTCATTGTCTCAATTTTTTTTCCCAAATGCTTATTATTGCATTTGTAGAGCATGCAGACAGTTAAACAAGTTAATTCGCAGTTGCCATGGGCCGGTAGGAAAAAGGAACGAAATCAGGAAAGGAACAAGGGAGACAACAAGGGAGACAGGAAAAGAGCTGAGAAACAATGGAACTGACAGGGGAACACGTGGAAAAGATCTCTTCTTGGTTACTTGTGGCAATGATTCACTGGGTTAGGGTTAATTTTGTTTGCACTGTTATGCAACAAGCCCTGTGATTGACATAATCAATTAAATCTTTAGAATTGGCTGTGGGGCAGCGTTTGCACTTGACTGGTTTGGGGATTCAGTGCTAGGATTCAACACTAATAGTAATCAACAATAGTACAACGTAGGTAATTTTACCAAACTGGAGATGAAGATAGTCCACATGAGATAAGGAGAACACTATGCCATTGTATGTCATTATGAGTTTCCTGTTTGTGAGGCTAGACCCTGAAACGTGTTTGAGTGAGTATTTGAAGAGTCCTTAATGAGCTGATTAATGATAGTCAGGTCTGAGTGGTTAGTACTCGAGAGACATGGGGGGAGACTGAGAGCTTGATGGAGATGTGACAATTACATGTTCATCACAGAATTAATGTAATTACCCGGTAACATCAGATAAATTGCGTGTAATAAGTTGTGATTTTGTGAAAACATAAAATATCTTATAGATGAATCATTAGAGATGGGTCTTCACCCAGCTACATTTTACCAAATGATTAATGTCTTTATTGCATTACAAAAAGGAAACAGACACAAAAGTTTCAGCTAAAATAAGATGAGATTAAAAAACTTGCTCCCAACAATAATTCCTGAAGACCAGACTGGTTTCATTAAAAATAGACAAATGGTTCACAATGATTGCAGATGATTCTATATAATAAACTGCTCAAAAATAAAGGTCTCAATCTGAAATACTGTTATTAGGTGCTGAAAAGGCCATCAACAGGGTTTGGTGGGATTATCTCTTCTCCACATTTATTTAATAGATAAAGGTCTTTTATGCATCTCCAGTGGCCTCAGACAAATAAATGTAGGACTGATTACTTTAGGTTAACACGTCATAACTGTAGGGCTGCCTGCTACTGTATCTCCAATGCACTTTGCGTTAACAACTGAACCTCTGGCAATCGCTTTATAAACCTAGGCTTCCTCAGCATGATTTATTATTATACATTTTTAATCCATCTAAGACAGTTCCTATGATAATATCTGCTTTAAAATAATTTAGACAAATATCAGGATATAAGCTCAATATAGGGAAAAGTATACTGTCCAGTTAATGACCTAGCTGAAAAGCAATCTTTTGAAACATTATCTTTTAAATTTAAAATACTTAGGAATCAATGTCACTAAGACATTTGTAGATCTGTTTAAGGAGAATTTTTCAAAACTACTCTGTACAACTGCTTGAATTATTATGAACTGTTGGCTGTTGTTCTGCTCACATTTTATTGCAATTGAACCTTATTTACACATGCCACAGCTCAACTGATCATGTGCTAGTTACTCCACTACACACCTCAAATCACTCACCCTCAGCATTTAAACAGGCTTGGATAACCCCACTACTATCCCCACTTTTAAGCCAGCACATTTAGAAAACTACAGACCAGTATCTCTTCTTCTGTTTAGTACAAAAACACGTGAATAAGTTGTGTCCAACCAAGTTTTTGCATTTCTCACACAGAACAATCTCTTGGACAGCAACCAGTCTGGCTTCAGAAGTGGACATTCTACTGAGACTGCCTTGCTCTCAGTTGTTGAAGCCCTAAGACTGGCAAGAGCGGCATCCAAATCTTCAATACTTGTCTTGCTGGATCTGTCCGCTGCTTTTGAAACAGTTAACCACCAGATCCCCCCCTGTCAACTCTTATTTCAAAAGGCATCTCAGGTACCGCACTACAGTGGTTCAAGTTTTACCTCTCAGATAGGTCCTTCAAGTCACAACGTCTAGCTACTGGGGTGCCTCAGGGCTCAGTTCTTGGACCACTTATCTTCTCTATCTACATGGTATCGCTAGGTTCTGTCATTCAGAAACGTGGCTTTTCATTTCATTGCTATGCTGATGACACTCAACTCTACCTCTCATTCCATCCTGTATATTTTCCCTTTACTTAGTTTACCTCCCCCTTGGAGGAGTGGCAACTCTGGAGGTTGTGTTGTGGAGGGCTAACTACTGAGCTTTTTAGCACACTGCATGCTCCCTTTGCTAGGCTGCTTAAGTACAATTTTGGGTAGAACAGGGTGACTCACAAGAGTTTTGTTTACCTCCCTTCCTAACTGTTGTTGAGTCTTGAAGAAGAGATGTATGCTCCCCTTTGAATGGTTACATTGGGGTTTTAAATAGGGTCTGAGCTCCCCTGTGGCTTCCTTCAGGTTTAGAACCCGGGTGATGAAAGTTACTTGGAAAACTGTCAGCGAGTAAATATCTAGGCTAAAATCGTGCGGTGTGTGCCCAGCATAAGGGTAAGGATGTATGCTCCCCCTTGAATGGATGGCAATACTTAGGGTTGTAGTCTGAGGTGCTAGTTACTGAGGTTTTTAGCACCTTGCATGCTCCCTTCCGTAGGCTGCTCAAGTATTCCTTAGGGTTGAGCAGGGTGAATGAAATTATAACGAGCAACTCTCAAGAGTCCCTCTGTTTAGTTTACCTCCCTCCGCAACTGTTGTTTCTGTACTACTGAACGTTAGGAGCTGTGTGTGTATGTGTGTGCGCACACACTTCAATGTAAGCAGCACATTAATTTAGAGCAGCCATTAAATCGACTCTATGAACTGAACTGGGCTGCATTTCCCAAAAGCATTGTAAGCCTAAGAAGTTCGTTAACACGATCGTACGACTGATCTTATTATTACGGTCTGTTTCCCAGAAGCATCGTAACTTAAGTAGCACTTGAAAATCATTGTAGAACTATGAGTGCTCTGGAGTAATCGTAAAGCCTTAAGTGCATCGTAAAAAGACATAATTGTACTTTATTGTACGCTTTATTACTCTTTTTTTATGCTTCAAAGACTGGGAAAAATAGGGATAAACTAAAAAAAAATCTGTCAATGTCTTGCTGATGTGCACGAAAACCTGCCATGTATTGGGCATTTCTTGGCTGGCCATCATGTGGTCCCATGCCATCTTCGTCCTCCTCCTCCTCCACCACCTCTTCATCTTCCTCCCTGTTCAGTAAGTGCACTCTAATCTGCACTGCAATGATGTGCAGCATTGCTGTTTACTATTATTACTGCACAGCACTTTTGTGGAGCAAACAGTAGACCACAGCTGGACTGGTGAATAGCCAGAAAGTGCAGCTTCCACCTCCCTATTGTGCATTCCACAATACTACGTGTTAGTATTAGTACTATCATATGTTTGTAATGTTCATAATGACCAAAGGTTGAGCTTCTTATAAATATGTATACATAGAACACTGCTGGTAAACATGTCTGCAATAAACTTTTTTGTCTGTACCTGTAGAAATGTATTGGCTAGATGAAGTACATATATTTGTGCTACTGTCATCCTTAATATATAGACTTTATATATTAATAATATTGAAACTTACATGCTTATGTCTGAAAATAATCATCAATCATTAGCCATTCACTTCAGAAACACTTGGAAGAACTAATAAGATAACTAATAAGTATTTCATAGGGCTATAAGCCTTGTGTGGTTCAACAAACACATGGACATCAAAAACATTGCAACAACATTTTATTAATTTGGATATTCAGTTGCCCAGGACCTACAAAATACATTGTACAGTGGGCTGAGTCATAACTACATATAGAAAACATTTCACATTGCACAAGAAATTACAGAAACTTAATGAATCCCCATTTAACAATAATCACATTACCTGACGATTCTGGCAAGATAATTGGCACAGAAATGGAGGGACTTGCAAACTTCATCTCCTTTAGTGCAAATCTCCTCTCTTCCAGCTTGGCCTTCTTGAGCTCCATGAGCTGCTGTTGAAAATTGATGTCCCTCTCGTTGGCTTCTTTAAGGCATTGTCTAATGTCTTTCAAGACATATAGTTTCTCCCTCTCCAGCTGCACTAAGTCCTGACTACAAGTACAGACATTATCAAACTGCTGAGGTGTTATGGCTGCAGTCTGGACAACTGAAGATGGAGGCTGTGGCCTGGGAGGGTGGTTTGGAGGACTAGGAGATGGTAGGTGCTGGGAGATGGCAGGCGAAACAGATAGTTCCTCTGAACATGAAGGACCTGACTCAGGCTCAGGTTGAGTTACACCTACTCCTCCATGGATGTCAATACCACCACTAATGCCATCTGAAGCACTTGTGCCAAGTATTGACAAGGCCTTTTCTTCCTCTGCTGTGAGAATGGGGAACTCATTGGTCCCACCACCTGTTTTTTAATTGCAGTCCTCTGCAGTGCCCTCTTCCTCTTTGGCAGGCTTGCAAAATCCAGCCACTTCTTGCGGACGTCCTTGCCTGATCTTTTAATACCTCTGGTTGCTGTTAATTTGGTAGCAATGTCCTCACAGATGTTTTGTTTTTCCTTATTTGTATGGTGTCCTTTAAATCTGGTGAAAATAACATCTTTGTTTCGCTCTACCTCCTCTAGAAGGACATTAATTTCAACTTTTTGAAAGGTATCTTTTCTTGTTGTTTTTTTTGTTCGGCCATTTTGTCAGTGCCTCAGCCTGTAGGTAGGTGCTTTATATACAGTAGACTTGTCTTGATTGCTAATCCACATCAGATCATGATTATTGGGTTAAAACATTCAAGATACGATTCCATATAAAGTTATATTTCAGCACTTCGCAAATGGACAGCGACTCCTAAGTAGCACGTAGAATGCGTTCTCGCGCATTCATGTTACTGTAAGTGCATTTTTGGGAAGCACAAGTGGAAATGCGGTGTTATCGTTATCGGGAAACCCGGCCCTGGGTGTGTCAGATAAGAGAATGTAAACAAAATAAATATTAAGAGATGCTGTCTTAACCTGGACAATGTTTTATACCCTTGAGATGATATGACATTATTAAATTATCTGGAATGAGTTTATGAGAATATGTTATTGTGCAAAACATTAAAAATAGTAAGTAATATCTTTAAAATAGCTATTACAATTATTTTGTCATTGTGTAAATTATTATTTTTTAATAATTTTTTCTTGGATGAAACAATAATAAATACAGAACCCGGTACAAATGAGAAACCACCTCTGAGCAAACATATAGAGCAAAAAATGTCATTAATATCTGTAAAATAAGTAAATTAGGCAATTTTGATAATGGGCTGCAAAAATGATTACACCCTTGATTAAATTCAACAAACGTGCAATATTCTTGTTCTGCCTTCCTGGCAGTGAGTGTACAAATTCATGACAAATTGTCACATCTGTACTGTTTAATTCCTGGAGGATGACCTCCTAAAATTCCCTGATCTGGAGTGTTTCTCAACTTGTTTCTGCAAAGGCGCATTGAATTCAAGTGGCATTCACAGGTATCAAAGCCCCTTCATTCTCTCTCTTTAGAAAAAAATGTGTCATGTCCAAGAGAAGCACCAAATTAAACCTTGTGAGATGCTTCAGTACAGCTGGCTTGACTACAGAGAGAGGTGCTACTTCTCTCGCTGTCTTTTCAAATCCCATTCACTGTGATGTTCCCATGTTGTTTAATGTGCCTAATAGCCAAATAAATTAAGATTATATATCAATTAAACTGATCATTTTCAAAAGCCAAACCCTTGTACAAGGCAGAAGTCTGGTCCAGTTCCACTTACAATCCTCTCTGTCTGTATATGAATGGCTGTCATATTATTTTCTCCTCAGAATTAAGTGTATGCAAATATTACTCAGGGAACACTTGAACACTATAATAATAGAGAATGTACCTTATAAAAATATATATTTTTTTACTACACTTAAATTGAGGAAGTATTAAAATTGTATTCCAATGTTCCAACATTTTAAAGGAATAGTTTACTCAAAATTTGAGGGTGAGTAAATTATGAAACGTTTCATTTATGGGTGAACTATCCCTTTAGGTGTAAAGTTCCTTTCAGGAGCCAAATCACACAGCCAACAGGGTGAACATTTTTTAATGTTTTGATGAACATACAGCATGCAGTACCAGGTTGGGTGTGAAATGTAGGTTTCTGAAAAGTCCAAAGGAGACCTGCATACATCATAACACAGCTCCTGCAATGTTGTGAGAAACCAAAAACAAAAAACTCATTTCTAATTTGAAAAAAAAAAAAAAAATGTGAAAAACCAACAATAAACAACATGTGGGATGGTCCTAAAATAGGTGTTAGTACATTACATAACATTACGCGTGTGTCTTATTTTTTTCTTTTGATTTTGAAATTTGACCTACAATAGTGATGATTCTGTGAGATTCATCCCCAAAAAGAACAACATACAAGCTCGTAAGTGTACTGTAAACAAGGGGCAAAAGACCCTAATGTGTTGACGCACATTCACACGAGAAATGAACTGCATGTGAAATGAACAACAAGCAAAGGGAGAGACGTGTGCATATGGGTCAAGGGCAAGACATCCCATTTTAGAGTCCGCATCAAATAAATTTTACAAAATTGATTTTATATACATAAAGAGAATGCAAGTAAAGTGTCTACTTCAATATTTCCAATAATGTTTGTAAAAATAAAATATCATATGGATGAAATTATATTCCAGTCATTCAGCGTAACAGATATTTATGTAAAAATGAAACAACACTTATTCTGACCTGTTCTTATTGTAATATAGTATATAAAAGAAAAAGTAATCATAATTTTTTTATATTTTAAATTATTGAAATCTTCTTGCTGGCAAATGGGTAGTGGTTTGAAGGATAGTGACAAAGATTGGTAAAGATTGAAAATTAAAATTTGGGTGGGGGCTGCAGTGATATCCTGAAATAGAGTCTTTTAATGTCATCTAATGACTTTTTCTAAATAAGCCTGAAACAATTTTTTGGTATATAAACTACTGTTACGCTGAATGACATTTTAGTGGTTATCTTCTGTAAATCTTAGTCTTTTTAAAGAAAAAACAAATACATTAAAATAACAGGACGCATTCTAATGTATGGGGAAAATAAATATGTATTGAACTTTTATTGTTTTGATGCTTGAAAACCCCTTTTGACCCATATATGGTTGAATATGCGTATTTTAAACTGGTCGAGAGCTCCACGGAAACGTAGAAATGTTTATGACAGCATATTATTTATATCTAACTACATACCACCAGCAAAACATAACCACGACGATGTATCCTATTTATAAAGCAAAAGACACGAACATGAAAATCTGACCCATATCCAAGCAACAACGAGAATATGAGATACAAGCATAGGCTAGAGCACTGTATGTGAATGTGTGTATGACGGCAGGCACTGCACGGATTTAATAACCTATCTAGATAATTACAGTATATTCATGATATCCGTGAGATTGAACAGTTTTGGCTAAATTTATCTTCTGATCTACATGTTTAACATTAAATTTGACGTTGGAGGCAGAAGCGTAAGATGTATCAATTCTAAGCCTCACTGGAAATAATCCATTACTGAAAATAGAGAGGGATGATGGAAATTCTCAAATGCATTTATTTACTGCTTAAAAGCCTGTTTGATAAAGATTCTCATAAATTGGCAATATTTTGACAATCAATTAAACTGCTGTGTACTCGGATATGTTTCGAGTAGGCTACACAGCAGTTTAATTGCTGTGTGAGGATAAGAAGAAAACTGCTGCAGACAGGCTATGTGTGTTTTCTTCTTATCCTCACGCTGTGTTAAGGACGCACTCACCTGCTCATGCTGTTCCCCCCGATGAGCACAAACCAGAAGATCGACACGGCGAAACTCACTGCATCCATTTTGCGCTAAATTGATTCGGACTGAAAGGAGACAGACAGATTAATATATCCTAATTTCCTCAGCCTCTTAGGAGAATCGCAGGAAAATTATATAATGATCCATATTTTAGCCAGTGCCTTATCCAGACTGCAGAGAAAACGGCACACATAACTCGCTTTCTCTCATAGACAGTTCTCCCTCTCTCTAGTCTAAAGCCTTGAACTATCGCGAGGTCCGTTTCTCGAACGAATCGTTCTTCTGAGTCGGTTCTTTTTAACGACTTCAAGCCTTTAAGCGTTCTTGAATTACTTCACTAGCTGCGAGTTAAGTATTGAATGTAGCCTACTTGGCTAATAAATTACTCCTTAAATGACTTGCTTTTGTTTTTGTCAAATGTAGTGGGCTTTTGCATACAGGAATTTTGCATATTATACTAAGAATATTGTGAGTAATGTTGTAAATAGTAAATAAATGAATAATAGTGCAATATTTTATTTGGACCATGGCATTAAAGTGATGTAGGCTATCTATAGGCCTATAGAAAAGCAAGAAAATTTAGCAGGAAACCAAAATTGACAATTCTTATTTGTATGAAATATTATGCGCCCTCTAATCTTTTATAGCCTATTAAAAAAATTAATAAAATAAAATAACTCTTCTATTTCCTTGCAAGGAGGACATCTCTTTCTGATGACAATTGCACTGGTCCGAATCCAAACAAAATGAAGACAAAACCAAGTCCCGCACTACATTTTTTCTCGGAAAACAGACGTTTATTCCAAAGACAACACGTCACACTACGCTATTTGAAATAATGAAAAACATAATATACACGACAATATTTGAAAAATACTCATTTTAATGTACCTGAAAAAGAATGGACATAAAATGCAACGCCAGTTTTTTGACCGTTGACTTGAAAGAACCGGTACAGCAAAACTTAACCGTTCGAACGAACCGATTCATTTGAATGAATCAGATTTACCAACCTCTCCTTTCACATCAGATTAAGTCCTCCGCTTGTGGAGGATGCATCATGCAACCACTCTGCACGATAACACGATGTACTTATATAACATCAACCCTGCTTTACAGTCATCTTTAGCCCATGTCAATGAATACTTCAAAGCCAGTGTATTCATTTCTCACACAGCAGTTTTAGGTTTATCTCTACAGCCACAGCGCATTTAATGCGTCCTGGTTCGCCATGCTGTTAGCTACTCATGCATTTATGAAGAGGTAGAAGGCATCAAACCCATATTCTACCCACGTTAATAGGCTATGTTGGTCATTATTCATTAGTTTACCAGTGCACTACTCTTAGACTATACTATTTGTTTCTATCCTGTTTGATGTGTATTGTTGTCTGTTATATATACTGTACTGAACCTTGAACTTGGGGCTGAAACGATGTAATGGTGCATTCAGTGACAGTGATTGCATAAGCTACTGTTCTAGTAAATTACTTTCATGACTGACCTAGCAGAATATGTCACTGCACAATAAGAAACGCTAAATTTAAGAACAGTACAAAATATGTATACAGTCAGCTGTATCAACAAAACAGGCCAAGTGTTTACGCTGTTGTTCTGAGAGTTTGTAGTTGCCGAGAGAGGAAAGAAAGAAGAGAGAGAGAGAGAGAGAGACATGGATTGACATGGGTTGGTGAATGAGTGGTCTATGATGTTTTTTTCTTTCTTTTTCTCCACAGTACAGAATACAGGACAGGAATGCTGAGCTTTAGGATTACCCATTCTTCATAACTAAATATACACAGTCAAAAGTTTTTGAAAGGTAACAGTTTTTTAAAGTTTTTTTAAAGAATTCTCTTCGTCTCATTTGATCCAAAATACAGCAAAAGCAGTAATATTGTGAAATATTTTTACTAGGCCTATTTAAAATAACTGATTTGAATATATTTCAAAATGTAGTAATTTATTTCTGTGATCAAAGCTAAATTTTCAGCATCATTACGCCAGTCTTCAGTGTCACATGATCCTTCAGAAATATGCTGAAGTGCGGTTCAAGAAACATTTATTGTTATTATCATCATCATCATCATCAATATTTACAACAGTTGAGTACATTTCAGGATTCTTTGATGAATAGAAAGATCCAAAGTTCAGACTTTATCTGAAATAAAAAGCTTTTGTAACACACTATACCATTCAAAAGCTTGGAGTGAGTATAATTTTTTTTATTATTATTTTTGGGAAAGAAATTATAGAAATGAATAATTTTAAAGGATACTTTAAATTGATCAAAAGTGATGATAAAGACATTTGTAATGTTACAAATTATTTCTATTTCAGATAAATTCTGTTCTTCTGAACTTTCTATTCATCAAAGAAACCTGAAAAAAATTCTACTCAGCTGTTTTCAGCATAATAATAAATACATGTTTTTTGAGCAGCAAATCAGAATATTACAATGATTCCTGAAGGATCGTGTGACTGGAGTAATGATTCTAAAAATTAAGCTTTGAAATCACAGGAATAAATTTCAAAATTTTACAGTTTTTGCTGTACTTTGGATCAAATAAATGCAGGCTTGGTGAGCAGAAGAGACTACAAATGCCACAAAATCGGACACTGGGCCAGAGTATACCACAATAACAGGTCAGTGAGAGAAGTCACAGAATGTTTTGACCAACCTTCATACTTTCTGGGTTCAGTTTACAATGTAAATGAACTAGAAGAGCAGTGGATGGTGCAGCTCCTGATTGGGACGACCCCTGTAAAATTCCAAATAGATACGGGGGCTGACGTAAACGTTGTGGCAGAAGAGACTTTCAGCAAACTAGTCCCAGCAAAGGCACTAGAGCCAGCCAATGTTACACTGGACAACCCTGGGGGAAAGCTAGTCTGCCTGGGTCAGTTCCGAGCCACTGCAGTGTACAAAGGACAGTCATGCCCATTTTCTGCCTATGTGGTCCGTGGATACAATGTCAATAACCTGCCGAGTCAGACTCTATCGGCTGACATGAACCTTGTAAGGAGAGTGGAGGAGGTGAACAGAATGGCCTCCGAACACTATGAGGCGTTTGGTGAGCACGGCACACTCAAAACCGACCCTGTCAAAATTCAGTTGAAAGACTCAGTGCTGCCATGTGCAGTACACACTGCGAGGCGTGTTCCAATACCAATGCTGCAAAAGGTGAAAGAGGAGTTGCAGAGGATAGAGGAAAATGGCGTCATAGAGCGGGTGACACAACCAACGGAATGGTGTGCGCCGATGGGTCCCGTTCTGAAGAAAAACGGCAAAGCACGCATTTGCGTGGATCTCAAAAGACTAAATGAAGCAGTAAAACGAGAACATTTCGTGCTACCTACAGCAGATGAGATTTTTGCTAAACTGAGCGGTGCATAAGTTTTCTCCTTAGAGTAAACTCTAAGAGTAAACTCCTTAGAGCAGGGGTGGGCAAACTTGGCCCTTCCAGGCCACTTTCCTTCAGAGATTAGCTCCAACCCTAATCAAACACACCTGAACCAGCTAATCATTGTCTTCAAGACTACTAGAAGGCTACAGGCAGGTGAGTCATATCAGGGTTGGATCAAATCTCTGCAGGAAAGTGGCCTGGAAGGGCCAAGTTTGCCCATCACTGCCTTAGAGTAAACACGCAGCCAGCGGATTCTGGCAGATCCCTCTCCATCCAGATAGCTGCAGACTTACCACCTTTATCACGCCATTTGGGAGATATTGTTTCAGGAGGCTTCCCTTCGGGATCTCGAGTGCTCCAGAAATCTTCCAGAGGAAAATGCAGGAGACACTTCAAGGGCTGGAGGGGGTAGAGGTCTTCATGGACGACATACTAGTCTACGGGTCCTCCCTGGAACAACACGACTCTCGTTTGGAACAAGTGCTGCAGAGTCTACAGGGTTAAAACTGAATCCTGAGAAATTTACGTACAGACAAAGCCAACTTCGGTTCCTGCATCACCTTGTTAACGAGACAGGGGTGTGGCCAGCTCCAGAAAAGGTGGATGCCATCAGACAGCTGCCACCACCCAAAAATGTGCAGGAACTAAAAAGGGTGCTTGGCATGGTGAATTACTTGGGGAGGATCATTCCCAACCTCTCAACAGTCAGCCAGCCGCTGTACGAACTACTCAGACAGAAAAGTTTGTGGATGTAGACACACACGCAGCAGACAACATTTGAAAACATCAAAGAGCTGCTCATGAAGGCACCAGTTCTTGCATATTATGATATCACTAAGACCACTGCCGTCTTGGCTGATGCGAGCAGCTATGGACTTCAGCTACACAAAGAAGGATGGAAGTCGGTAGCATACTGCTCCAGATGTCTCCCTGATGCAGAAACCTGATATGCACAGATCGAGAAGGAATGTCTGGCCGGCGTGTGGGCGTGTGAGAGGTTTGAAAAATGTCCCAAATTGTCCCACTAGCTTAAACTCGTCCAAGTGCGGGTTGAACGAGTTTAAGCTAGTGACAGATCATAAGCCACTGGTTCCTCTCATCAACAACAGGAGTCTTGACAACGTTCCAGTATGGTGCCAGAGACTTTTGATGTGTTTAATGCAGTTTAAGCCCATAGCAGAGTACTGTATGCGCCAGGCAAGACGCTTGTCATTGCAGATACACTGTCCAGGAGCCCGCAAACTGCTATTACTAAAGAAACAGAAACGCATGCTGATGTGGAGTGCTATGTGGATGCAGTAACACAAGGTATACCTGCGACGTCCCATACAATCGACTGAATCAGAAATGCTACTACAAAGGATGGTGCGTTGCAAGCCGTAATCAAGCTGATCAGAGCTGGATGGCCACAACACAGGAGCCAAGTTCCGGTAGCAGCCAGAGAGTACACGGTTGCAAAAGCGGAGCTCTCTGAGCATGAGGGTTTAGTGATCAAGGGAAGGAGAATCGTTGTGCCAAGGGCGATGAGAAAGGACATTCTGGAAAAGATTCACGAAGGTCACCAGGGCCTTACAAAGTCTAGAGAGAGAGCACAGGAGTCAGTGTGGTGGCCAGGAATTTCAGCGGACATAAAGAACACAGTGCTGTCATGTCAGATATGCCATGAGTTGAGAAATACACAGCAGAAAGAGCCCCTGATCTCCACACCACTCCCAGAAAGACCCTGGAAAAGGATTGCGGCTGATCTTTGTAAACATCGTGGAAAGAATGATCTAATCGCGTCTGATTATTTTTCCAGATTTCTGGAGATACT